GCTGCAACAAGCCGGCCGTGAACATCAGCATGGAAGAGTATTTCGGAGCGCGCGAGGAGCAGGTGGTGGACATGGACCTCGACTGGCTCTGGCTCATCATCAGCATGCTGTCGCCGATGGTTNAAAGCCGGCCGTGATCATCAGCATGGAAGAGTATTTCGGAGCGCGCGAGGAGCAGGTGGTGGACATGGACCTCGACTTGCAGCTCATCATCAGCACGCTGTCGCGCAAGTACTTATTCTTTCGCAAGCCGGCAACAGTGCATGCACGGACGACTATGCTCAACTATGGGGAAAAAGCAAAATCCCCTGTTAGCCCAAGATCAGCACCTGTCCCTGCGTCAATGGGGTGCGGTTAGGCCTCTGTTGCTGCCATTTTCCCCACGCCACTCGTTTTTCTTTTTTCTCGCAATGAACACAAAGACTATCTCTGCTGTTCGCCCGCCGCTGTTGCCTCGATGTTCCTCTTTTGCAATATCTTTTGCTGTGGATGGCTTACGCCTGACCTTAAAGGTCAAGAAGGGTCCATCGCAGAAAGGCTTCTGCCCGTCAACGATGACGCGAAGAGTAGAGCAGGTGTGTAATCATCCTGACATGATTGTGTAATCATCCCGACATGATCATCGAGAGTTGTGGTACGTGTTTCTCGTTATCTTCAATTGATTCCAGGCTGCAATTAAATTGAAACGTGATCGCCTGATTTTACAAACGGTTGTCCTGTGACTTTCATCCTTCCCGGGCTCGATGTACGATCTCCGTTAACAGTGTTGGCTTTGTGGTCCGGGGCATGCTTTGGGGCATGCGCGTGCCAAGGCTCTTCAAATCCAGCTGGGTTTCATGACTCCCCAGAAGAGCGCAAACAATGGGTTGGTGGAAGAGTTTGGCCTCCCGTTCAACGTAATACCTCCCGCTGAGGAACACCGTGCGACGAAGCGTCGAAGACACCCATGGGGGATTGATGCAGGGCCATACTATGCGCCAAACACCCTGCACGACTGCAACCACGGTATAGATTGCCGCCAGTCGTACGGTTGGATTGACTCCTGCAAACAGTTGTCGGGAGTCTGTCTAACGGTACACGAGCACAACCACGCGGAAAAGAAAAAAATTCTGCACATGCTGAATGTCATGAAATTCGATCCCTTCGCAATCATGGTTGTTGATATCAATGAGACCGAGAACGAGGCGATCAATCGCAAAACCGTGGCGGGTTTGGTCCAGGGCGTTGTGGGTCACAGCAGCGAACGGCTGACAGTTTGCATGGTACAAGTTTGGTTTTGCGGCCGGTGCTTCTGGAAGAACCCTTTGATGCGATCTTTCGATCAAGTCGGCCGCGTGATATTGACGTTCTCGAGGTAGATATGGCCTTTTTGAAACGGCTCTTCTTGTGAGCGAGTACGCCGTTGGGGTTGCCGTTGGGGCCATGGACTCTTCCACCGTGCTGGCTACAAAACGCACTGTGGTTGCAATTGTTTTGGTTTTCGGGTCTACTGTGGCAGGCGACTCACGCTCACGGATCCTAGGTAGGGTATATGGTGATGCGAATTCTTTTCAGAATTCAGTTTTTATTTGGTTTCCTCAGGTATCCGTGAGGAAAAGCTACAGAGTTGACAAGTGGGTCGTCCGTATCTCCATGAACTATTGTTGTTGTTGTTGTTGTTTCTCACATTAGCTCTATAGTCCACAAAAAATGGGGAGCCCGTGGTCTCAAAACCCGGCACATACGACGCCGCGACAAAACAAAAAAACAAAAATAGGATACAAACCACTCGGAAAAAGAAAACAAAATGATCGAAAGAAAAGAACAGGTATCGCACCTACCGTTCGAGAAAAGAGCCCTCGGACACCGATCAAAATAAAACAAAACAAAAATAACAAAAAAAATAAAGGAGGACGCTTCCCACACCCGCCGAAAGAAAAAATGAAAGGGTAACGTAACGTACCAGCACCAGGCACTGCGCACCAGGGCATGGGAGTAACGGAGCAAACAGGGCAAAGAGGCGGCAGATGGGCAGACAGCCAGCCGTACAAAAAAACAAGGCAACAGCAAAGCGAGATCCTATGTACACGGCGCTTGTTTCGTGGCGAAGTTTCCTTGCTTATCTTAAGCTTGCTCTGTCTGATATGATGCTCTTGCTCCAGCGTGCTGCTTCCATCAACCCCTACTGTTCCCTACAGTAGTGTTCCCGCGGAAGAGTGGGGTGATGGGATTGTCGAACAGTCAACGTTTGATTCCTGTGCAGCAAGCCTCGATCGCTCTGCTCTGGTTCCGCCGCTGCGTCGAAAGATTGCATGCACTGTTTAAATCCCTCGTCCAATATCTGCAGCAGGAATGGGTGACTGGCGTGGGTCCTGTTCTTCGAGGGGTACATGGTCCCTTACCCTGCCCTCTACAGAGGGGCCCTCTACAGAGGGCAACGGGTCGAAACTTCTGTCTCATCTCTGCCTTGCTCTCTCTCTCTCTCCCTCACTTTTCTCGCTCTCTCAGCTTCCATCACCCCCAAATTGTGTCTCAGACCCCACACAGCCATGGGCAGTAAGCTACTTGACCCTACAACACCCTACAACACTACTTTAAGATACCTGACCGTGATAAACAGCATGCACCGCCAGCACGCACCGCCGCTGGTATCAACATAGCCACAACATAGCTAGCTTCGTAGTAGTGCGACACCTCCTGCCGAACCACACGTGAAGAAAGATCGCCTCTGTCAGCGTAGTCCGATATCGGATTCAGGACAACGCAGCAAACAACTTTCGATGTTCTAACACTATCGCTGCACAGGGAGCGTACAGCAGCAGACGGTCAAGGCTCCTCGTGGCTACGCTTGCTTGCTACTACTGTGCGTGTTTTTTTTAATGTGCAGGTTTGAATCTGTAAATAATCTACTAATGTGCAGGTTTGAATCTGTAAATAATCTACTGCTGTTAAGGGTGTCAAAGCGGAAAATTTCTTAGGAAAAAAATCGAAAAAGCGTCCTCGGATCTTAAGAAAATCGACCAACCAATGAAGTTGCACGGAACCGTCGGAACCTCCCGAACAGACCCTCTGACGCACACGCGCGAGGGCGCGGCTTGCCTGCGTGCTTTGCGCCCTGCTATGAGCACAGCACAACACGATTGCGCGGTTCCACTCAGAACACATGCCTCATGACACACCCGAGCAGCAGCCGGGCTGTGAAGCCACGCAGACACCTGCCGCCGCCGCTGCTGCTGCTGAAACGAACAGCAGCAGCAGCATCAGCGGCGGCGGCGGCGGCGGCAGCGAGGTTAAGCCTGGCTCTCTTCCACAATTTCCTTTCTTTTGACCAACTCCCCCTTCATTTCCTCCAGCATTCTCTCTACGACGGTGAGGCTGCCGCGTTCGACAGCGGGCCGCGTGTTATCTTCTGCTGACGCGGCAACCATACACTGCCCCGTCCTCCGTTCAAACTTCGTTTTGTTTTGGTTCAGCTTTCGCGCAGCGCGCCTCCTGCTGCCGAACGGCGCGGATCTCGATTTTTTTTTTTCGGACGGTCTGCTGGTGTGGGCGCTGCAGCCGCACTGAAGGGGCCGTTTCCAGACTAGTAGATCTTGTGGTTGGCTGATGCGATTCGGATGCGGTTTGTTGTGTGGTATAGCTGTAAACCCAAGGTAGAGGGCTGTAAGATCGCTTTTTCGAGAGGAGCAAAGGTCGCCTTGGGCGTGGAGCATAAAGCCCAAAGAACCATGTTTTCTTGGTGTTGTTCGTCCGCCCTTTGACTTCAAGAGAATCCAATCCTACAGTCACCTCTATGGACCTGTGTCCAGGGGTGTGTAACGCATGAACAGCCATGCTGCTGTGTGGACGCAGAGCTACCTGTACAAACAAATTCACTTGATGAATGGTTTATTCAGTATTACCAGCGGGTTTCTCAAGAACCAAAAAAAGAACCAAATCCGAGTGCCCCCCTCAAATTTTGCCGAATGGGCCGGACGTTTTTGAGCCCCGAATTCCGCCGCTTTAAGACCCATAACTGTAGACTAAAGATAACCTCACGGAGATGTGCCACGCATCAAACAACAACTACCAACATCCAGATTTTGGTGGCGGGGCCAGCTCAGCGGGGCAGCGGCTCAGATTGTTGCATTGTTGTAACCTCGGTGTTAATCGCCATGTACAGCAGTAGTTCTCGCTAGGTTCGCTGTTGGACCTGACCTAGCTTGTCGACGGCCGGAAGTTTGAATGTTGGTCCATATTTATTTATTTATCGCTGGAAGCAGCCAGGACTCGCGCCAGGCGAAGACATTGATGGCAAATTGATGGCAATAGGTTACGTGCCGCGAGGAGGGGAGGAGGGTAAGGAGGCCTCGCTGTGGAACGTCGTCTCTTCTCGCCCTCTCGGGTGCAGCCACAACAGACAGACCAGAGCAACGCGCGCGCTCCGCCCAGCAGCACCCCGGCTGAGCAGCACAGAAGCAGAACTAGAATAATAACCCTCCGGAACCAAACACCCCCGTGAAGATCCCTTCGAAAAATTGGTGTAAGGACCTCCAACATGTTCAGGCAGCTGACGCTGGCGGAAAAGCGGGAATGGACAGTTTGTTTCATTCAACAAAACGAACCGAAAACAGCTGCGACACCCACCACACAAGAAGATTGGCATGGACAAGCCGACACAACAGCACCGCCGTTACCACATTCACCCCATCTGTTGCTGCTGTTCGCAAACGCCATAGCGGTGGTGGGCGTGTTGGTAATGTACTAAATAACAACCTCTGTTGTATGCTGAAGAACGCTTTTGATTTGTGAGCTGCTGTGTCGACCGCTGTTTCAGTCTCTGCATCACACCAAAATTAACAGATGAAACAACAGGTCACCAGAAATAAAGCGAAAAACCAAGACACAACCGCCCACGATCATGACACAAACTCACGTCACAAGCAACGCATCATGCCACAACCAACACCACACCCATGGAAACAAACAAACGAGGTTAGTTAGACATCGTCCTTCATTCGCACACTCTCGTACTGACTTACGTGGGGGGAAGGGCCGGATCCTCTCCGGCGAGTCCTTTCTGTGATCTGGAGAAAGGGGAAGATGACAACTGAGGATGATGGGGCGGGCGAGAGTGGCTGAAAGCATTAGAAAACCTTGGCATTCTTGTCGGGGGATCGGGGATGTGGATCTTCTTCAAGGCACTACGAAACCTGGCATGATTGTCTGGGGATTGGGAATGTTGTTTCCCGAAACGTTACAAAAAAAACAGAACCATGGCGGCGAAAAAGGGAAGCGGAGGCACGACGTACGCCACGATTCTCCACCGAGGACAAGAACAAGCCATAACAGCGTGTATGCTGGGTTGGTTGGACATGGCTGGCGGGTTGGACATGGTGCTGGACAGCTGCTGTCTGTGTAGGAGAGACAACGTGTGCGAAAAGGTGTGTTTGTATACAGCAGGATCGAGATGACATCAGTCGAAGATAGTATCCATCCGGTCGCCCCGGTGGTCTAGTGGGTAGCCTCGCAGCCTGCCACGGAACAGGTCATGGGTTCGAGTCCCGGCAGAGAGAGTTTTTTTCTCACTAAATAAATCCTGATCTAGGATGAAAGCGACGCGCTGCAAAGCTCGTTTGTTAGTAAACCATAATCGACTTCGTAAGTCGCGAGGGANAGTAGTATGGTAGCAGCAGAGCAGCGCCCGCTTGGAGTATCGCTGAGCTGATGCTGAGGGGTAGTAGCAGAGCAGCACCAGGCTTACAGCAGTGGTAGTAGCAATAGCAGCCTCCCCTTCGAGCAGCTCTGCCTTACATCATACGTACACGAGCGCTTAGCTGATGCTACCTGATACCATACAGCCATCCGTAGCAGAGTTTTTTTTTTGCAGCCTTTACAGCAGTGGTATGTACACCAGAAGGACTGCTGTGGTCGGGGAAGGAATTTGGCCCGAGGAGGGAAGCTTGGAATCTGCGCGAGGTGTGTGTGTGTGCTTTTATTATTAGCATCGACCGCGCTAACCGTCTGACCAATGAAAAGACGTCAGTCTCAGTGCGGCGGGAAACACAAAATGTTTCTATAGTCCACTATCTGGGACCCCAGGANAAAAACAGAAACAGCAGCAACAGAAAATAATGTGCCTAACATATCACGATGAAAACTAATGAAAAATAAGGCACATTATGGTATGTAGCGATGAAAAGATGTGTGGGCAACCGCATATTTGACCATCGAAACCGCAAGGGGGAACACTGAAAATGAAACGTGTCCCTTGCAAGTAGAGTGAGAAACTTATGACCGACTTCCTCGCCAAAACTGAATATTCCCATGCATCCAGGTGACAATGGCAAATACTGGAAATGCCGAAATGCCGCCAAATGACGCCGAACCAGAATTCTACCCTTCAAAGAGTCAGCAAAGTATGCACTTCAAAGAGTCAGCCAAGTATGCACATGAAGGGGCGCACACGCAGCCATTCGTCTGGGCTACTCCCCCACCTCTCCTGGTTTTCGGAGCTAGCCGGCAATTCGGATCCAGCCGTTGTGCGATACGTAATCATCTCCGTTAGGATTTGAGGAGGACGGATTCTTTAGCTGTAGAGAGGCACTGCGCCTGTTCGCTCCTTCCTACTGCTGCTTGCGACTGACTTGGGCCCTCCAAAACTCCGACAGGTACGAGCAAACTCCTTTGTGTGTGGTCGAAGATGGACTGCGCCTCTGCACAAGCCCAACATGCCACCATGCACAACATACTACTACTGCCGTTCACCTGTTGCCGTCCTTCCACGTCTACCTGTCCATGACACATGCTGCCACTTGATGCGGCAACATCTGGGAACAACACGGACACAGGGAGTATCCCCGTACCCATACGTACAACCTCTCATTCCTTCCTTGTCAAACACAAATGATGTAGCATGCATGAAATGATGAACTCTGTCTATTCTTACAAGTATGGTCCACGCTGCCTACAAATGGGAGAGGTAGCCATACCTCCTGCCTACACACGGACGAGAGAGGTGAACACACCCACTGCATTTAACACACACCCACATGTCGGTGATGAAACCTCATCAACAACACGCCTCTATCGGCGACCACGTCATCAGGAGGCAATGATGAGAAATGTTCTCCCGTGCCCTTCTCACATTTAACGACATGAAATTCCACAACATAACATATATGAGACACAC